AGAGAGAGAGAGAGAAAAGTCATCCTTTTTTTCTTCCATCCTCCCTGTCTTTTCAATCCTCAGGGTTAGGAGAAGCAGAAGTATAAGGTGACACTCTCTACTGCCCTTATTTAATGACTGATTTAATGCATAGAGAAAATTTTGAGATGAAAGTTCAGCGTCTTTTAGGGGGAAAAGCGCTCCTTCCCTCTATCTTGGAATATATTTCAAGCATGAAATTACTGGTTCATTTTCCTTGAGTGTGTAAAAAGCTAACTGTCAGCTACTCAGTCAAAAACATGGGAAAAAGTGAAGGCAGAATATTGGTACAGATAAAAATCGACATGAGATTGATCCACAATCTTAAGAGAGGCTCATATTATTTACTGAATTCTACATTTTCACCACTTTCCGTGAATGAGGAGATCCATTGTCCCTTGTTGGTATAATAAGCTACAAGATCTTTTCATACCCCAGTGTTCTCAAAGAAACAGATTAAAAGGATAATTGATTAACACATTATCACATTGATGTTGTTATTGTTATAGTTACATCACCTTTTCCAACCGGTGTATTTAACGGCCTTTGAAATGGCCAAACCATGCTAATTGCTTTACCCAAAACTTTTTCCAGTGGATGCTACATTAACCAACTAATGAATATGGTTTACTCTCATTTAACCTTTTAATTTTTTTCTACAAATTCATCTTAACATCCTCATATCAACTACACTCAACATAGACATTTGGTTCTGTTGAAAATATGGAAAGAATAATCTCTATGATATTTTTCCAATAGTGTAGAATTATTTTCCTTAATAGTTAATTGTATAATTATTATGCAATCTTCCTTTTAGAGTTATTTATAGCCCTATAAATATGGTCTTTTACTTTGTAATAGAAACAAGTTTATTATATATAATTTATAATATTCTTCATATAGTATCAGGGAAGTTTCGATCCTAAACAAAATAACCACTGAATTTCGTTTCCGGCAAGCGGCATTGAGCCGCTTGGCCGGCTACCAATGTTGTTTTTCTTTATTTTATTTTATTTTCGAATGTATCTCTTTGGTTTAGTATATGGACAGTTCATCTGAAATTTGATCCAGTTTATTTGGAATTTGATTTAGTATATGTCCAGCTCATCTGGAATTTGGTCCAATTCATTTGGAATCTGATTTAGTATATGTCCAATTCATCTGAAATTTGATTTGGTGTTGGTTTGGTGTATCCGAAATTTGAAATTTGCATCCAGTTTATTTGGTATTTTTCGAGCTGGAATTTGAAATTTGCATCCCTTTGATTTAGTAGTGAATACGTTGATTACTTGCAGATATGAGTGTTCCTTCTTCCTCTCCAACACGTATTGAGATTGACTGTCATCTAATTTCTCCTTCAAGTCTTCGTGATGGTTTGGTTAGATTGATTGATGATGATTTTTCATTATCATCAACTTTGAGTTATTTGTTCGACTTGGTTGACATACAAGCAATTTTGAAGATTTGATTGGATTGATTTATCTTTCAAACTCAATTTGATTGCTGCTACACCATATTGAGTTTGAGGGAGGGTGTTGAAAATATGGAAAGAATAATCTCTATGATATTTTTCCAATAGTGTAGGATTATTTTCCTTAATAGTTGATTGTATAANTTCAATAGTGTAAAATTATTTTCTTTAATAGTTGATTGTATAATTATTATGCAATCTTTCCTTTTAGAGTTATTTATAGCTCTATAGATATGGTCTTTTACTTTGTAATAGAAACAAATTTATTATATACAATTTATAATATTCTTCACAGGTTCCAATCTACCAACATTCCGTTCCATGTAACATCTATGCTCCATAGTAGTCTTATAGAACCTTTAACTATATAGAAATCCATTGATCATGCAAAACCTAGAAGCTCACATATTAATTTTGAAATTAACATCATCTTCAATATATCCTTCTCAATTAATAATAGATATGACTGAAAATAATCGAGTATGCTCACATATACGTATTCTGCCTCCTATGTTGACAAGTACTTCTACATTGATTAAAAAGCTATGATGCACCAACACAGACAAGTGTGTCCGACACGATACGTGTCGGATACGTCGACACGCGATTTTTATATAATATAAATTTTGTTTTATACTTGTTGATTGTTATTAATTTTTCTTGTTGAAATCTTTTAAACATGAGTACATANAAATTTATCTTGTTGAAATCTTTTAAACATGAGTACATATTAGTTACTTGCTAATAACTTTGAATTAATAATATAAAATATTTCTAATATAAAAAGAAAAATGATTACGGTAGAGTGTATGAGAAATGTCGGTATCGACTCGGACACAGACACGCTACCCTAATTGAAGTGTCTGTGCTACAGAGTTAAAAAGTATACACTCTAAAACTGGATAAATTTGTCCGAAGATAGTCTTCCAATAATGCTAATTTAGATATAATACCACTTTTTGTCCCATCTACTAACAAGATATCTAGAAAAAGCATACATCGGGGGATCAGTCATGTGTGTCCTTATCCAATCCATAGTTAGGACAAACAAATATATATTTATAGCTACAGTTCTCTAGTAATTTAAAATTAGCTAGACTCCATGTGTGTCCTTAGACAATCCATAACAATAAAAACAAAAACAGGCTTAAAGTTTGATGAACCGTATTGTAGTTGGAAATTGGCTACACTCTTTTGCATAGTGTGTCATTGTGATTGTAGCTCCCTTGCACATATCATTGTAAAAGATAATGTACCAATTGTTACTCCTTTATTTTCAAGAACCAATCAAAATAGTTGCATAGGAACCAATCACGTGCCTTTCTAAATAAATTATTTCCATATAACAAATTTTCTTTTCCTTCCTATATTGTTCCATTATCTTTATAACAAATAAATAGCTTTCATGTCGGTCTCCCTAGAATAAATCTAAATTAATGCGAAACCATCATTTCAAATGCAAGTCTTCTCTCAATCAATGTCTTCCAAATTTATAGCGTGATAAGTGCCATAAAAATTTGCAAACTTTTGTATATATCTTCTTTTTATGATGGACGTGGAACATATAAACATTGATATGGGACACATTTACACTTTTGTCCATTGCCTACAAACGCAAAGGGAATAAGAATGGTGCTTCCATGGTTATATAACTATCACAAATAAAGTTGGATGCCTATTTTGAAATTTGACATTATACTGAAAAATCTTTAATTGTAACTACTAAGCAAAAGGTTAAAATATGATAATATTTTGTCATTTTCACATATCTTATATTTGCATGTTGGAAAATTACACATTATGTAACGACCCAAATTTTAAGAATTTAAATCGCTACCAAAACTATTTATAATGAAATATCAAATTCCATTTTGATCTACACATCTTATATAATTCACCAAATTTAAAACTACTAAGTTGCACATTCTTGGAAACTCAAATAGAGATGGATTATTGGCAAATAAATTACAAAAAAAAAATGAAATCAAACATTTTCCCACAACATATATACACGTGAATATATACATATATATAAAAACAAATAGAAATTATTATATACGTGTAATATGATTTTGCCTCTAATTTGCAGATTTATTCTATGTGATTATTCCAAATGTATACGCTTAAGATATATCGTGGGAAAATGTTTGATTTCTTTTTTTGTAATTTATTTGCCAATAATCCATCTCTATTTGAGTTTCCAAGAAGGTGCAACTTAGTAGTTTTAAATTTGGTGAATTATATAAGATGTGTAGATCAAAATGAAATTTGATATTTCCTTATAAATAGTTTTGGTAGCGATTTAAATTCTTAAAATTTGGGTCGTTAAACATTATAACCTGTACAACACTAAAGACCTATACCCAACTCCAAGCAGATGCAAAGCAAGCAATCAGATAACAGAAAAAAGAATAACTTAAGTTCCTTATCCATCTTAAATTTAGTGATGTTACCTTACCTTATGTCATCCCTGGCAAGTATATTTAAAGTGATCATGTACGTCACTCATGACTGGTACCCTACTCCAAGTAATCTACAAGCAAAGCAAGCAATCTGAAAACTAAAAAAGCATAACTTAAGTTTCCTTATTCATCTTAAATTAAGTGATGTCACCTTACCGTATGTCATCCCTGACACAGTACATTTAAAGTGAATGTGTAAAATTTCCTGATCGTATAACCTAGATTTTGGCTGCCTGATTAAGGATATCATATTCAATTCTTTTCCAAGTTCTGTTAGCCTTTCCAAAGTTATTGCCAACCTATTTGCTAAATGTTCTGTATGCTAATTAATGACTGTTTTTCTTGGGAAGAAAATCAAAATTCTTACTAATGACTAACAAGACAAAGAGTTTAGACTGTCATATAAACACACTGCATTGCTTCTATTTATTAGGCTTTTCTATCTTCTTCACCAAATTAAAATCTTGTTTTTCAAGTTGCCTATTTTCCTCTTCCTTCTATTTTTTTGCTTTCAATTTTTTTCCCTGATTCCATATTGTTTCCAAGAGACAATTTTTCCAATTTATTTTCTCATGTTTAAATATTCAACGTACAGATGAAGTACACATGGGGGCAAGTGTAGCAATTAAATGGATTATTATCTGCATGGATATCGAGAATTATGATGATGTAGCATTTTTAACTACACACTTCTAAAATCAAAGGAGAAAATTTTTACCATGTCCACCACGGTTTGGCTTGAAAGGAACTCAAATACACCATCACTAGCAATCACAAAGAAAGGATGATTTGGTGTGAGCTCCAAGACAACGATTTCTGGGTTTGCAACTACACCTATTGTCTCTGCAATAGAATCACCTACACTTCTCGTGAAAGCTGTACCCGGATACATACCATTTTGCACCCAAATTCTGGGAGGATCACCATCATCACTTTCTTCAGTTCCCCAACACTGTACGTTTGGGTCCTTGAGTCCTTCAATCTGATCCAAGGTGAGAACTCTAGCTCCACAAAGCTTCACACGTTCAAGTTCATCAACCCGGAAAGGAGTATGATCAATTGATAGGTCAACAGCAACAATGTCCTCCCCTCTTTTCTCACCTACAACAGCCCTCGAATCACCTGAATTGGCAATATAAAGCATCCTACCCCGAACTAGTACTGTAATTGCAGTTGTTCCACTCATGCTATCATCTATTGCATCAACATGCAACTGTGAATTTGTCATCACGAAAGCAGAATGGCATGCTTCGACTGCATCAGTTTGAAATTGACTATTCCTAAGCAAATTTTCACATAACTTCTGCTTTACAAATTGTGAGCATTGAGCTCCAAATTCCCCATGTCCATCAAAAACCCCAAAGAAATGATCATTTGGGCTCATTCCAAATTGAGAGTGAATGCAAAAACTGTCCTGGTTGGCCTTATCAAGGGCATCAGGGTAGTAGCCTCTCTGAGACAGAAATGAGTAGCATAGTTCATAACTCTCTGATGGAACCTTTACAGTTCGTGAACTGTCATGAGGTAGAAACTGGGCTGACACCCTGGACAGCCGAGTTATACCCACTTCATTATCCCTTGTTGAACCTAACTGATTTACTTGATCTCTAATTTCTCCTTCATCATCAGATTGAGCAGGTGAGAACACTGCAATCTCAGCTGTTGTTTTCACAGTTTCACTTCGTTTAACCTCAGGATCTCGGGGTACACACAACTGACCAATACATCCTCTTGAATGAATGCAACCCATTACTCAGAAGACCAAAATAAGATGAATACGGATGCCAAAGTTCCCAAATGATTCATCAGGTCTTCAGGAGTCGCTGGGACCAGCTCGTTTTCTGGGGTCCGCTGCAAAATCAAATTAGAGAATCTAAACCAAATCCGGATAAATACAAGAGAATTCAGGTCCTAGTCAAACCTTATCCAATTCGAAGCATCAAATGAAATCTCATTTCAAAAACTAATACTTACAGGAAATCCACACTTCAGATTCAATTAAATTCAAAATTCAATCCCACTCACATTTAACTGATAGAATTAGTGGATTCACTTTTGCCAGCATTTCACAATTCAAAATTCACAGAAACAGTTATACAGAAAACAAAGCAGTTTTTCAAACTTATACATACCCCAATACTTGAACTCGATATCAACAACGGAAAAGAAAATGATAATAGCATCCCTAATAAACTTAAGACTTACAATTAAGGAAAAAAAAAAAAATCAGTGAAGCTGAGAAAGTGTAGTGCGCACCTGGCGTAAATTGGAGAAACTGTAAGATTAATGCTACAGGTAGAGAGAGTTCGATTTCAAGACGCAACAGATACAGTGCCATGTATAGAAGGAAAGGTTGGGGCCTGCCATTTGCTTTTTGTGTTTGGACTGGAGTAGCCCACGCGCCGCCGATATGTGGTGGCTGGGGCTAATGGAGGACCCACCGTCTGTCAACACATGGACCACAAAATGAATGATGCACAAATATTTACAGACAAATTCCTCCATCTTTCAACCTTTCAGTTTTACAGAAGTACATTTTTATTAAACAATTTTGATGAGCAAATTAGGAGAAAATTTCTAGTACTTTCGCCTATCAACTCGTTCCGACCTAAGATAATAAACTCATGAGCTTAGTCTTACTTCAATGTCGAAAAATATGAAACTCAATACTGAGTACTAATTTTTTTTTTCCGCAATTTAGATAAACACTACTTTTTAGTGTTCTAAAAAACGTAAAGCGTGGTTAGACGTCAAAACGAAACTTCAAGTTTTGCAAGCAAGTCTAAGCGATGCCTAGACGTGAAAAAAAAGTGTTTTCTTATTTTTAATCATTTTAAAAATTATTTAATAATTAAAATTGTACATATCCAACAGACTCAGGGTATAACCACAAACTTATCAGGTCTGACTTCTTTAACAACGTAGTTTTATAGAGACTCGAGTGTCATAGTCTAGTATGACTAATAAAAAAATACGCGTGTAATAAATAGCCAAAAAAGTAACTTTGAAACTTAGCCGCACGAGAGGTGCTTGGGTGCATTTAGTTGTATCCGTATGATTTAGCAATAGCAAGCATTGAGTGCAATTATTTGAATGTGGTCCCTTTTTTATTTTTATGAATCCAAATTTCAATGTCGAAAATTTTCTCTGGAATTAGCTGTACATAAAAACTTTGCTTTCAGTTGATGGCACATTTTCCTACCCAATAAAGGCTACTTGGGCTGCATTTCGCAGTTGCTATCCTTACCAAATCTATTTATTGCTTCTGGTTTAGGCTATCGTTGAATTCTATCGACATGTCATTCTATGTAGAGATAGTAAAATTGAACGGCAAATTTAAATTTTCATATCCTCTTCCCATCCAACTTTTCAAATTGGGGGTTACCCTGTGTCTACCCTTTGGCTACCCCAGTCTAGTCTCATCATGTTCCCACCCCTATTGTTGTTTCAAATCATACGATCAAGTGTGCGATAATGATGAGAATCGATATTATAAGAATTTATTTATATTTTTTCAGTTAAATTGTCGCAGTATAGTATTTGGTAGCGGCAAAAATGAAAAGTACAAGCAAGGGAGAGCGCTGAAGCCATTACCTCAAGACATTAGTAATTAAAACATACTTTACCAACATTGCACGAGAACGCATATAATTGTGTTTAAAACACTTTTTTTTTTATGGTGAATTAGTAGTTACTTTCTAGAAAAATAAGCCTCCATTTGGGAAAGAAGTTATGAACGATTTAATTTATAAATAAATAAAAATGAGCAGTGAATAATAATCATGGGTCTATAAAAATGTTTGGTTGGAAATAAAGTTTGAGTATGTAAATAATTTATAAATTTTGCCCAAAGGAGGCTTCAAAAATAATAATTTTGGAAATTATGTTTAAATAAAATAAAAAGATTAAAAACAAATTTATCAGGCGCGTGTACACACACAAAGCATTTATTTCGACTTATTTGGTAAATTCGATTGTACAATGATAATATAAGACCAATTTTTATTTAATATTTCATACGAAAAACATAGTTTATGTAAGTCAAAAAATCTGTTAGTCACTCAATTTTTTTACTTTTTTAAGTATTGTGTTGGTCACTTAATTTTATTTCAATTAATTAAAATTCATTAATTTTTAACAAATATTTTACGTGAAACGACAACAATCTAACTTGATAATTACGTAGAGGTCTTCAACATTGTACATTCAAGCAAAAATAAATAAAAAAGTAAATAAAGATGGTTGTATTTTAATAATCAAGACAGTTAAAATCAATAGGATAAAGATGGATGTGATTGTAATTAATAATCAAGACAGTTAAAATAAATACGATAATTGGCCAACGGTTTATACAAGTTGCACATTATCATAGTAATAATGAATGAGACATCTCATTTTGGTTTAGTACATATAAATTACCTATTAAGTGCATTCACGAGGAACTTTTCTATAATGGAGAAACAAAAAACTTGTATTTGTCCAACTGAGTCGGGTCATAATTGAACAAAGGTACTGTAAATAGGATAGCCCCCGTTTGACACCCATTTTTTATCTCATTCTCATTTTTCTACAGTACTCATTTATAACCACATATTCTCCAAATAAAATAATATTACACACAAATTTAAAACTTTTCCTAAATTTATAATACACCCAAATGGGTGCCAAACACATGTTTAGATTTTCAAAGTGGTTGAATACCGCTCCAATGGAGATGTGACAAATAAAATAATATTACACATAAATCCAAAAATTCTTCTTACTTTTTAACCACACATTATTTACATCAATCACTATTCAAAAACTCATTTTTCAAAAGAATGGGTGCCAAACACCCACATAACTGCACGGGAGTAGATCGAGCAGAATTTTTTCCTTCTTTATTTTTTAAAATCAGCATGCCTCATTTGTACGGATTGATTTGACTTGAAAAATCGGGAACTAGTGTGATTATAATTAAACTGAAATGAAACCCGATCAACCGAGTTGTTGAGCCGGTCAATGAATGTGATCTTGCATTTGTTCATCACTAGTTGTTAATTCTCAGTCCACTCTAATGATGTCGTCGATCCGATATGTTATTCTTTATAAAACGAGACATTGTCTCGTTTTATGCTCTTTTTTTTTTTTTTTTAAAAGTCTAAAAACATCTGTGACTTTACAGTGCAAGAAAATCCTGACTGAAAGCCAACTACGTAATCAGCACTTACACCCCCCCTCCCCCCTGCACACGAAGTAACGGGCATTGTCTAGACATCACAGCCAACAATTTAAAACATCACAAGCTAAACAAACAAAGCAACCCAAACACCAAAGAACCAGCAAAACAACAAAAACGCAAACACCACCAAACCGACACTAACAAATCAACACACACACAAACACCCCCAACACCACCCCAAGGCCATCACTGGAATCCAGCCAAAAAGGCCCAACAGGCCGTTCCCGACAGCATGAACCTTCGCCAGCACCGACCGCACGAGACCGCAAGCTGAACCTGACTCGCCCCTCCCACCGACCAAAGCTCCGCGAAGACAACCGCCCAAACCAACCGGTCCAACCACCGAACTGCCCAAAGCCAAGTCTGTGAAAACTCATCAAACCATAGCCAACAAAAGAAACGGAAAAAGAAAAAAAACAAGGAAAGAAAACAGGGGGTGGTGGGAGCCGAAACTCCCACCCCACCCACGAGCTCGCGCAAGAGAGAAGTAAGGGTTAGGGTAAGAGGAAAGAGAGAGGTTTAAGAGAAAGGGGCGAAAACCTTCACAAAGGAAGGAGCAAAACCTTCACGGACGGAAACCCACCGGAAGGGAAAAAAACCTTCACTGGCGGAAGGGAGAAAAACCTTCACTGGAGGAAGGACTTACTCGTTTTATGCTTTTGGCAGGATTTCGTTTGCCTTCAAGGTGGCATCGCAATGTCAAGTATGGGTCGTCTAATATACGATAGAGCAGTAGGGTGGAAAGTGTTGGTCGAAGATGAGAATGCTCGCTGCCTATGCTTTATGTTCATCAATTGATCTTGCCTGATCTCAACAATAACTAGGCCAAACTGAAGTGGGCCTATTTGATTGACCAAACTGAGTCGGGTTGGTTTAAACCAAGAAATCAGTTTGGTTCGATTAATTTTAAGGGAAAATTTCATAATTAAGAGATTTAGTTTTACCCATTTCAAATTTAAGATATAAGATTTCAGATTTTTTAAGGTTTAA